TAAATAAAATCTGTGAGAAATACTTTTCACCATCTCAGAACAGTTCTTATTGTACCAATGTTTCTGTGAACTCCTCAAACCTGTGGCCCTAGGACAGTGTAACTGAGATTACATGCAATCTGCAGGGGAGCTGCCAGTGCTTTATTCAGTGATAATAACTATATTGTTATCTCACCTTGACATGGGGTTTGCTACACTGAGATTACTTTTCCCAAACTTCTGCCAGCCTTGCCAAAATACGTGCACCTTTCCCTGTCACTTCCCTCTGTGCTGGTAGACATGGGACTCGGCATGTGCACATTGTACACGTTAGACAGACCCTGCTTCCAACAATCTGTCTTTCTTTTTTCTCCATTCACCTGGACCCACAGTTATACCGTTAACATAATGGCTCCTTTTGTGCAATATGATGTGAAGGAATTTCAAGGCCTGGAGTTATTTCTCAACAAGTCAGAAACAATTTTTTAAACACTGCTATTTATTTCCCATAGCAGCGAATCATCTTTTGGTAAAGGTAATGTGTTGCAGTACCATGAATTATGTCTCAAAATGCATACAAAGCAGTGTCTTTGGTGGAAGGCCTGTTCAGTTATTAGCATATCATCAGAGTGAAACTTTGACTGATATCAGAGAAAGCGACAAATCTACATGAACGCGTTTTCCAGCACTGGCCTAGCTTGATAAGAAATGAATAGGTCAACAGGAGGAAATGGTGTTGATGCTTGAGAACAGCTAGGGGCCAGCAAGTGTGGGGAAAAAAAAAAAAAAAAAAAAGAAAGAAAAAAAGAAAAAAAAAGAAAAAAAAAAGAAACCCACAATATTAGCAGCCATATGACTGTAATGCTGTTGACTTCAAGAAAGATAACACATAATGGCAACATGTCATCACACCAGAGAGAGGAAAAGCAACAGTCACTCCCCATCTCTTCTTTCTAAGCATGAGTTCCAGAGTCCCCTCCTACCTGACAGCCTAGATGTGAAATTTTGCCAGCATTTTATTGCTGCCTGGTTTGTATCCCTTCCACAACTCCCAGCCATCTCATGGCCTCAGCAGGCAGGGCAGCTGTTGTAATCCACTGGGAGGAATGCTGTCATCCTTGGAGATTGAGTTTCACCTTCCCCGGGCTGAAGTGGAACGCTGCCCAGCAGGAACCATGCTGGGCGGCTCTCCAGCACCTCAGAAACTCAGCCCTTAACGTAATAAGGGAGAGCTTCTAATGCCAAGAGGATGCTACTGTGCTTCCTAACACTGAGCCACTCTCCCACTCTCTGTCCTGTATTTTGGAAACAATCACAATAGCCGGTGCAGCTTACTGTGTTTCCAGAGAAGTGTTCCAGGAAGAAGTTTCTTTCCCTGTTCCGACAAATGATTAAAGACATGCTTTTAGCAAACAGGGCACACACCGGATTTTCTCCATCCAGCAACAGCAAAATAATTTCAGCTCCTGAGAGTTTCTTATCCCCAAGTTGTTTATAATAATGTCCCTAACACTATTACATTATGTTTACTTACCTCCTAAACACAGATATAAAAGGCAGAGTAAGCAGGGTTGTCTCCCAGTTGATGTCATCAGGGGATGCAACCACGACTGAATTTTATCCAAAATCCATGCTAAAAATGACTATATAAATATATATATATATTTAACAGTAAATATACATCAGTCTGTGTTTCTGCAGGAAATGAAAAAGTTATTTCATATTTGGTTTTCTGCTTAGGAGCCACAAGCACACTCCTCAGCAATATAGACTATCTGCTTAAGCAGCAGGAGCTACTTCTTTGAATTGAAAGAGTGCAGAAATGAACTGACTATTCTGCTAGCCTTTCTGTCATTTAAAAATTATCCAAAACCACTTTCATGTTTGATACATTTCTATGCCTCATTGCAGTTCTGAATGAACTTTTATGACTAAGTTATACACCCCTGAATAAAGGATTTGGAATGGAAATATTGACCTAATGGTGCAAAATGTGTTTCTGTGATATAGTAAAATTTAATTCTCCCGCCTTTTCATATTTTTGTTGTTGTTTGGGAAAAGCTGTATCGTATCACAATTTGTTAAACTTCGAGCAACACTAACTCAATCATTTTAATGAAATGCATTTTCAAAGTACCAGAATGAAATTGTTCTTTCCCATTAACAAGAGAGAGAGAGAGAGAGAGAGAGTTTAGAACAGATTAGTTAATGTTAGTTAGGGCTGCTATCTCAAAAGTGATAGATCAAAGTTTAGCTTCTATTCATGGCTCAGATAGCAACTTGCTGTCCATAACAGCAGAACGATGTGGAGAAAAACTCTTTCTGTTTCAGTCCCCAAATCCCTCCTGTATGTGAGATGCTTTCCTAGAAAAAGTTTTGATAAATATTAATTTCTGTGAGAAGCTTTGGTGTCAATGGCAACAATTCCGTTGTAAGAAATTCCAGTATATAGAAACTGCATGAGAAGCTTAGCTTCTTTGTTGGCTTTCCTTAATCCTTGTGAAGTCTACCTGAGAGGTCTAGAAGTAATGTCTTTATTACTCTCCTGTATTCATGTTTTAACACATTTCTACTTCCTAGTTTTTCACACACATATATATATTTTTTAATACCCTCCTAATTTTGTATGGAAAACCTAACGCAGGAATCCTGCAAAATGTTTTATTTCCAGAAACATCAGCCACCACAGCTCAGCACTGCAGCTCAATACAACAAAACACCAAAGTAATTTCTACTCTTAAATGCTTTGTAATATTGGGGGCCTTTGAGTCTGACCCTACAACCCTTATACATACAAGTAGTCCTTGTTGTCCTTATATAAGTAAGAGTTAACTGCTCATGCGTGTAAAGGTTGCAAGGTGAGTCCCTTTGAATATCATTATACCAAGTATAATAACTGTTTTGTTGAAACTCTTGGGCTATCTTTTAAAAACGAACCCATATTACTCAATGGAGAATTCTGGAGGGGAAAAAAAAAAAAAAAAAAAGACACATTAATGTTGCATTTTGAAAGCAGACAGAGGTCATATGAAAGTTGCCCAAGATTTTTTTAGTTGAGTTACTTTGGAATAAGTTGCTGTGGTTCTTTGGCAGAACACAGTTTATTGTTCAAGTGAAATTTTTCACAGTTAATAAGATGGTCAGTTGCAGGTATTGAAAATATTTGCCCTGCCAAATACCACTAGAGTGAAAACCTTCAAGCTGGTTGAATAATGAAACAGAAATCATTCCAGCAAACTGCTTGACAGCTGGCGGAGAAATTCACAGAATATTATTTAACCAAAAAAACAAAACAAAACAAACAAAACAAAACAAAACAAAAAACCTGTTCTATTGACTAAAAACAAACGAGTTTTTCTGTTTGTTCAGTTGTTTGTTTGTTTCTGCATATTTTCTTAAGAGAATTTCCAAAATATGTTTGTTGTGTTATTTACAGGGAATAGTTTGACTAGCACTTAAGTAGAGCAAAGTACATTTATTAATTTATTTATTTATAAAGTAGATTTATCCAGATATTTCTGTTCCTGCATAGCCTACTTTCCACTGGCCACATGATGCCATCAGTGTTTAAGCAGATTCTCCACTGATGTCAATGGAAAATTCTGCTTAGAAAGCCCTGGTTAATTTTTACTGCTTTATGAGCAGGGAGAGTATATGAATCACAGTACTGAAATTGCATTTGGATAATAATGACCAAAAATTCTGCATAAGCAAGTAATGAATCAGGAACACATGCTGCTTTCAGGAACATCCGCCTAAAATGGACAAACAGTGTAACTGAAAATACAGCGTGGCTCTGCAGAAACTGTTTACCAGTGATCTCCACACATCCTAAACCAAAATTCTGTAAGGTTTTTCTGATACCGAGGCCTCTGGACTTTGCTCTTTTCCAATAATCTGAACTACATCTTTGTCATAATGCCTAAAGACACAGAGACACTTTCACTGAAATCCCATGTAAAATTTTTGTGAAAATTCTGTATATATACACAGAAAAATATACAGATGTCTTCATTGTTTCCCTGAATTTCATGGAATGAACATGACAATAAATAACCCTCTGCTAATGGAACATGAGCAAGCACCTCAGAGAAACTAAAATCAAATCCGATTCAAATTTGGCGTGGAAAAACTTAGCAACAACAGCAGCAGAAGTCTTGTAAAGTGAAATAGACCCTGCTAGGAGTGAATAATGCATTTCCCCAACAGCCAACCCTGTGCTTCCAATGAAATCAGCAACTGGACTCCCGCAAAGCCTCAATGCTGTTTACATCCTCCGGGGTAGGGGGTGGGGGTGGCAAGAAGGAATTTAGTATGTACTAGTTCTAGGGATAAACTCTCTGTGCTTTAAAATTCAGATTTTATATAGATATATATATATATACCCTGTATCCCCCTCCCCCCCCCCCCCAAAAAAAAAAAAAAAAAAGTATAAAGAGTTGAAAACATGAACTACAGCGTGTTTAAAATTCAGATCAGTGCTCCACTCTTTAGTCCTGTTGTGTGCAGCCTGTTTAGCCACTGAACGTGGCTAAGATGCTCAGGACTTGCAAGTATACGCACACACTTTAAGAGATAACTGTAAGAACTGTACTTAGGACTGCTAAATTTGCCACCAGGTTAATTGTGTACAGCATCTGGACAGCCTCAACTGATTCCTGCAGAGACACTGATGTTTGTTCAGGGTGGTGGGAAATAAAGTCGTTAAGACAGCAAGCAGAACCAGTAGCAAGCCCTGGTGGCTTTACCCAAGTGATAGCCCCATTGCCAGAAGGATCAGGAGACGATGCCATCGTTCATACAAAGTTTTATCCTGAGGCTTTGTGGATCCATAGCTGCTTATTTCTTGGATCACCACCTCAGTGATAAAACTAAAATAGTAATTTAAAAAATCAACAAAACCAACCAAACCAAATTGAACCAAACCAAACCAAACTGAACCAAACCAAGCCAAACCAAACTAAACCAAATCAAACCGAACCAAACCAAACCGAAGCAAACCAAACCAAACCGAAGCAAACCGAAGCAGAGAGGAGCTCTCTCTCCCGCGGGGCGGCACCGCAGCGCTGCTGGCCCTCCGAAGTGCCCCCCATTTGGGGCTCTTGGCCGCCCCGAGCGCTGCGGGGCGCTGCCGGGGCGCTGCCGGGGGAGGCGCCGGCGGCGGACCCAGCGCGTCCCCAGGATCCCGGGCAGGCGAGGTGTTGGGGGGGGGAGGGAACCGACCGCTGCTCGCCTTCCCTGCACTTTTCCCGGTTGGAAAGTGCCCGAGCCCCCCGCGCCCGTCCCTTCCGGGGACTCCTCGGCGATTGCTCAGCCGGGGTTAATAATTTCGCTGGTCGGGAAGTGGATGTTTAATATGCGAGCATATTTGGTGGTCATTGACGGAGCAACAATAGGAATGATCTTGCTTTATGTACCAGTTACAAGGTTTAATATCATTATATTGCATGCGATATTAGTTT